GGCTCTTCAAGGGGGGTTTCAGTGCAGTGGGGAAGGTTCCCTGGTTTGGGGGAGGGGCCAGAATTTGGGGGGGGTCTCTGGGGGGTCCTAACAGGCAGGGACGATCAAAGGGGTGTCTGTAGGGTGGGAGAGAGAGGCTAGAGGGGGGTTTCCTCTCCGTGGGGGTCATTGATTGTGTCTCCCCCCCAGAAACGGAGGCGAAGGCGCTGCTGAAGGAACGGCAGAAGAAGGACAACCACAACCTGAGTGAGCTGGGGGGGGAAGGGGACCCCAAGGGGGCTCAGGGGGGGGGGTCACAGGAGGTCTGAACTCTGTGTGGACCCCCCCTTAAACCCCCCCTCCCCCCACCCTCCCCTGCAGTCGAGCGGCGCCGGCGCTTCAACATCAACGACCGGATCAAGGAACTGGGGACCCTCATCCCGAAATCCAACGACCCGTGAGTGGGGGGGACCCCCGGCACGGCTCGGTGGGTGATGGGACAACCCAGGGTGGGGCCTGGGAGGGACCCTGGTATTGGGGGAGCACCGTGGGAGGGACCCCCCCACATCCTGGGACCCACCCCCCACATCCTGGGACCCCCAGGGTGGGGGCTGGGAGGGACCGGATCATCTTGGGACCCCCAAGGTGGGGGCTGGGAGGGACCCCAACATCCTGGGACCCCCAAGGCGGGTCCTGGGAGGGACCCCAAGATCCAGGGAGCACCGTGGGAGGGATCCCATCATCCTGGGACCCCCAAGGCGGGTCCTGGCAGGGTCGCCAACATCCGGGACCCCCAAGGCGGGTCCTGGCAGGGTCGCCAACATCCGGGACCCCCAGGGTGGGTCCTGGCACGGTCGCCAACATCCGGGACCCCCAAGGCGGGTCCTGGCAGGGTCGCCAACATCCGGGACCCCCAAGGCAGGTCCTGGCAGGGTCGCCAACATCCAGGACCCCCAAGGCGGGTCCTGGCAGGGTCGCCAACATCCAGGACCCCCAAGGCAGGTCCTGGCAGGGTCGCCAACATCCGGGACCCCCAAGGCGGGTCCTGGCAGGGTCGCCAACATCCAGGAAGCACCGTGGGAGGGACCCTGGGAGGGACCCCATCATCCTGGGACCCCCAAGGCGGGTCCTGGCAGGCACCCCAACATTCAGGGAGCACCATGGGAGGGACCCCGACATCCAGGGCCCCCTAGGGTGGGGTCTGGGAGGGACTCCAATGTCCAGGAAGTACCATGGGAGGGACCCCATCATCCTGGGACCCCCAAGGCGGGTCCTGGGAGGGACCCCAAGATCCAGGGAGCACCGTGGGAGGGATCCCATCATCCTGGGACCCCCAGGGTGGGTCCTGGCAGGGTCGCCAACATCCGGGACCCCCAAGGCGGGTCCTGGCAGGGTCGCCAACATCCAGGACCCCCAAGGCGGGTCCTGGCAGGGTCGCCAACATCCGGGACCCCCAAGGCGGGTCCTGGCAGAGTCGCCAACATCCGGGACCCTCAAGGCGGGTCCTGGCAGGGTCGCCAACATCCGGGACCCTCAAGGCGGGTCCTGGCAGGGTCGCCAACATCCGGGACCCCCAGGGCGGGTCCTGGCAGAGTCGCCAACATCCAGGAAGCACCGTGGGAGGGACCCTGGGAGGGACCCCATCATCCTGGGACCCCCAAGGCAGGGTCTGGGAGGGACCCCAACATCCTGGGACCCCCAGGGTGGGTCCTGGGAGGATCCCCAACATCCAGGGAGCACCATGGGAGGGACCCTAGGAGGGACCCCATCACCCTGGGACCCCCAGGGCGGGTCCTGGCAGGGTCGCCAACATCCAGGACCCCCAAGGCGGGTCCTGGCAGGCACCCCAACATTCAGGGAGCACCATGGGAGGGACCCCGACATCCAGGGCCCCCTAGGGTGGGGTCTGGGAGGGACCCCAATGTCCAGGAAGCACCATGGGAGGGACCCCATCATCCTGGGACTCCCAGGGCGAGGTCTGGGAGGGACCCCAACATCCTGGGACCTCCAAGGCGAGTCCTGGCAGGGTCGCCAACATCCAGGGAGCACCATAGAAGGGACCCTGGGAGGGACCCCATCATCCTGGGACCCCCAAGGCGGGTCCTGGGAGGGACCCCATCATCCTGGGCCCCCCAAGGCGGGTGGCAGCGGGACCCCAGCACCCAGGGCCCCCCCCAGGGGAGGGCGGCAGCGGGACCCCAGCACCCGGGGCCCACCCAGCCCTCTCCTCCCGGCAGGGAGATGCGGTGGAACAAGGGCACGATCCTGAAGGCGTCGGTGGATTACATCCGCAAGCTGCAGAAGGAGACCCAGCGCTCCCGGGAGCTGGAGCTGCACCAGCAGCGCCTGGAGCAGGCCAACCGCAGCCTCCAGCTGCGCGTCCAGGTCTGGGGGAGGGGAAAAGGGGGGGACAGGCAGGGGGTTTA